TTTTTCACGTTTATAGAGGAGCTCGTATCTCAATGTTCCACTGTAGTACCTAATCTTAAAAATAGACTTTTTAAGGAATCTCTTTACGTTTTGCAGTTAAGAATGCTTTATGGATTAAACTCTTGTATTAATAGTAAATCTGCCTACTGTTTACAAACAAGTTGGTCTTTTTAATAATAATAATAAAAAAAAAAAAAAAAAAACACAGAGGTACCAGAGTAAATGGCAAAAAAGTTAAAACTTCTTTAAAATTTCAAGAAAAATATTCTTAACTACCTTCATTCCCTACCTCACAGACATCTTCTTTTCATTCAAAATTTTGTCAAAGATAAATTCAAAGGTGATAATCTCATTAAAGATTTAGTACTTGATTTCATAAAATTCAAATTCAACTGTGCTTCTTCAAAAATAAATAAATAAATAAAAATCTGTACCATTATCTTTCTACATAAAAATTATGATGATCTTCAACTTCACAAGATTTTTAAACAAGCACAGCAAAAATTTCGTGCAATAAATTATAAAATTTCGGTTTGCTTCAAGTACAACTAAAAACTAAGTGGTTTTATTTCTAACCATAATGAAGAAGATTTTGCAGCATCATGATTTTGTGATGAAGAAAAATTTGTGCCATTTTTTAACGAAGAGCACAAACATATAATAGGAAATCTGGACAAGAAGTTAGAAATCTTAAAATTTACAATATTAACTACTATGACTTTAAAAAACTTCTACATGTCTCGGCCACTAAAAAAAAATCTACGAAGTCTTTTAGAAATGACATTTTTTCCCCTGAAATACTTAATATTCTGGATTTGCAAAAATGGAAAAAATTTCTACATTTTTCGAACTACCAAAGCTGTATTGAACATTCAAAATTTCTTTACTTGCAAACACAAGGAATTCCAATGGGAAGTTCATATTTGACTTATTTTTATAACTTATTTCAATTTTATAAAGAATTCAAATTCCTAAAGAGCCTTTCTGGTAACAATTTCGATATATGCGAACACACTTATAGATGTATTGGCGACATTATTACCTTCAACAATTTTAATCTTATCGAAAATAGCAACATCTGTCAGAACTGTCTAAAACTTAATAAGGCAAATAGAAACCAAACAGGAATAGTTTATCTTGATCTAAGTATTCATAATCTTAAAGAAATTAAATTTTTTGATAAAAGAAAAGATTTAAATTTTTCTGCTATTAAACTTATAAATTGGAGCTCTAAGATATCTAAAAACATTAATGCAAATACTATTATTAACCAAATTAGCAGAATTAAAAAGGTTACACTGAAATAGAAACACAAAAAGAAGAAATCCTAATTCTCACCAAAATTTTAAAAGAAAATTAAATTTCTTTAAAATTCATAAATAGTTTATTAGAGAAATCTGGAGCAGTCAAGACCCTATAATACTTTTTAAAAGTATGCATTTTTTATCTGGAAGCTCCAAAAGAGAAGGGTAAAGAAGGATGTTTTGAGCAGTTTATAGAATATTAATTCTATTTATTTATTTATTTTTATTTTTATTTTTCTCTTAATTACTATGTGTTATTAATCAAAGGCCTTATATATTCAACGTTGTTATGATAAGCCCATGACGTGAAGACTTTTTACTTTCCTAACAATAGTTCCTTTGCTTTGTTTTCAACCTTTTTTTATAATTTTAAATAACAAAATTAAAAAATCTAAAATTCAACTTAACAGATTTTTCTACTCATATCTACAAAACTATTATTAAAAACTTTTCTACCACTTTTTGAGCACCTTTTTGAGTCTACTATTTTTAAAGAAATAATTGATTTTAAAATGTAATTAAAGTTTTACATTGAATGATATTCTTTTTACCATTTTTGTTTTAAAAGTGTCAGAATTTACTTAAATTTCACTTTAATTAGTAAAGTTATCTTTTTCTTTGTCAAAATTGAAATGTTCATAGAAGTTTTAAAAGCTTTTCTTTTGGTTTCAAAATTCCATCTTTTGTTCCAAGCCTTTTGAGCGATTACTTTCTTGCCAAGGTGTTTTAGTTTAGTCAATGAAGCCAGAATGGCAAGTCACTACTTTAAGGATCTTCCTAGTCTCGACTGTGTTCTAATGAAAGTGCTCAAAGTTTTTAATTGCTTCTTGTGAGTTTTAATGAAGTCTTTTAACTAAAGTTTTATAATTTCGCTTACGTTTTATTCTGGATACGCAATATTTGGTTCACATACATATGGGTGTCTTATTATTGTCTTACATTTTTGTGAGCTTTATACATATTCCATGAGTGTATACGAGCCAGTTTCCCTTAGAAAGTCCTCCACGAAGGCATCCCTCCCCTTAGGCAGATAGCCCTCGAGGCTTTGCCATAATCACACACACACATATTCCATGAGCAAAGAAAGAAGGAAGCCGTAAAGCGTCTTGCCAGAAGGAAAGCCTAAGTGAAAGTGTAAGCAGCAATTCAGGGGAAGAAGGGAGAGAGTCAGAAAGTTTCAGTTCGAGTTAAGAAAGTTTTGGTTTACAAATCAATGATTGAACAAGAGGTATTTGCATTAAACGTTATATAGTATTTGAACTTGAGTGGATGAATAAAAAATATTTTATTAATGATTGAAAATTAATTAATTAAATCAATGAAAAATTTTTTTAAAGTCAATTCCTACTTAGGTAATTAAAAAAATTAATATGTGAAAAAACTGTATTAACATCAAGTGTCATCCACTACAAGTTTAAAAAAATGTATTCGAAATTGATGAATAAAAAATACAGTCAAAAAGTCGTTAATCCGGACTCGTCGGGACTTCACCGATTCCGGATTATCGATTTTTCCGGATTATAGATCATCAGTTTAAATCTCGTAAGATGGCATGCAGAAATTCTAAAATTAAAAATATGAAACCTTAATTTATGAAATAAAGAACAATTATAGTCTTAAGGGTATCAAAATTTACAAAAAAAAAAAAAAAAAAAAAAAGCTTAATATTTATTTGTTTACTTTATTAAACATTTCTTTCAATGTAAGTTGTTTTAAGTTGCTTCATTTTATGTGATAATACTTTCTCTTTAATTCTATAAACAGAAACAATTTCTTGTTCAGTAACAAAGTTCCGCTGTTCAAGTCCCATTAATTGTTGTGCTGAGAATACCGACTAACTCGTCAATCGAAATTTTTTCGTTTTCACTAACCTCTCTGTCACATTCTTCATGTCTTTATCCATTTTTTGCAGCAATTCCACTTTTTGTTTGATGGACATCGAAACATACTTTCGTTTTGTACGATCCTTTGGGAGCTCCAGAATCAGAAATTCTATTTGACATAATCGAAAGTTCAAGTTTACTTTTATAAAATTGCTCTTACAGTCTGCAAAAAATAATAAGCCGGATCCAATTCGAAGATTAAGGAACAACGCAATCATCAACGTTAACTGAAATAGATAATTAGATAATTTTAGATTACACCGTCCATTATACATAAAACGCTCACGCGAAAACATATTCTGCGCTTGCGCACACGCATATGCGCAGTGGTAAAAGGTCTTACGTGCATGCGTAAACGCGGCGCATGCGCAGAAAGTTTTTAGCTTTGAGGTCCGGATTATAGATCATTCCGGATTATGGGTGTCCAAATTAACGACTTTTGACTGTATTTTATTTAACGACTGAAAATTTGAATAAGATATAGGGAGAGTGTGAGCTAATAGTAGAAATTTAATAAAAGAGGTTATAGCCAATTAAATTAGAAATTTGCTTTCATGTTTTTTATCTTACACATCCGCCCTTCAGAGAAAAAGGTGGAGCGATAGAGAAGCCTTTTTGAGAGAAAAAGCATTAGAGCAGCAAAATATGAGAGATATCATTTTGAAACTACAAAACATAAAATTAACTTTTGGACAATTAAAAAATTATAAGTCATAAAATTTTGATTTCAATAATAATTTTATGCACTATATTCTTTTAAAACAATTGCACATTTTTAGAGTCCTATTAAAATTTGAGTCCAGTCTGTAAAAAGTTATTGTTTCTGGAAATTCACGATACTCAGGAAAGGATTTCCAAACATTTTTACCCACAATTATAAAAATTGGTACTTTTCCGTTTTGCCGGTGCAAATGATAAAGCCGCCCAATAATGGTGCAACTGATGCCAAACGGAATATCTTTGCTGGTAACCTTTTACGCTTCATTTCCAAAACAAGTCGCAGCCATTTCTTACCAGATTGATTGTTTCTTTCAATACTGGCATACAATTACATAGAAGTTACAAGATAGTTAAATTTTATGCCCTAAGACCGTTCACAGTAATTAAAACAATTAGGATGCAATCATACTGCTCAGCCAAAGGTGAAAATATAGAAAAGGCAAAATCAAGGGTTAAATTCATCAATTCTAAGGAGAATGCACTAGCGAAGTAAAGCAATGCGGTTTTACATAATTTCTGAGTAAGCTATTCATATGAATTGAAGTAATTCTTGCGTTTAAACTTGTATTCTAAATTAAGATTTAACTTGAAATTAATGTAGATAATTTACTGAGAGAATTAGTTTTATGTAGCGTAGTTTATGGAGGTAAGATCACTTGGGGTCACGTGATATGAACTGGTGAATCAGGATGTTGATTCATAAAAGCATAGTAAATTTTAAATTAATGTCTTTTTACAAATTTATTGTCTTTATTTACTGACTTTTTACAAAATTTTAAATCATATTAAAATGTTTATGCCGTCAAAATAAAAAATTCTTACAACATTTGTTAACATTTTTTATGTGTATCATGAGTAAACTGTATCAAGTAAAAAATTAAATTAAAATTCTTAGAACTAAAATTTTTTATTTGTATACTGTATGCTGTCGCCAACAAAGTCTCCTTGGTGAGATTTGTGCCAGCGAAACGGAAAAGTACCTTAATATCTTTTATGTTTACAAATGCAATATTTAATTATCATAATGATAATTTTTCTATCTGTGTGTGAAATATAAGGAAATAATTTTTTTTTTTTTTTTGCTTATTTTTAGCATCATTTCGTCCAGAAGTAATATGTCAAGCATTTATGCCAACTTTAAAGGAATTATTCAGGTTATATCCTGAGTCTCTGCCTTTTCGCCATCCAGTTGATGCAGCACAAGTGCCAGTAAGTATCACTTTCTCCACCTTTTTTATGAGTATATAAAATTTGGACTTTTTGTGAGCATATGAAAACATATAGTAAGCTATTTTTGTACTGTCTGATCAGTATAGAACTGAAACAAACCATGAATACAGGATTAATATAAATTTATTAATTTTTAACTCATGTATAGTTCAATGAAAAATGCTGTATTTAATTTTTTTTTTAAGCTTATGTAAACAAGTTGTGAGTAAAAATATTTGAAAAATATATAGTTCCTTAAGTCGATAAAAAAGATCACCAAGATTTATATTCACTGAAATTTGCCTATCAAAACTTCGAAAAACTGCACATGAATATATTACATCCAGAGGAGTAGAAAATAGGAATTACGATAATAGCATTTGTGATTATTTAATCTTGAAAATAAAAATACATTAAAGTGAGCTCTTTTCTAGCTGAAAATACTTTTCTAAATTGGAATTTTTTAAAAATTAAGCATTAAACACACAATTTTTTTTTCAATCGTATGATTTCTCAAATAAATGTACTATAGTCAAAAGTCGTTAATCCGGACTCGTCGGGACTTCGGCGATTCCGGATTATCGATTTTTCCGGATTATAGATCATCAGTTTAAATCTCGTAAGATGGCATGCAGAAATTCTAAAATTAAAAATATGAAACCGTAATTTATGAAATAAAGAACAATTATGATCTAAAGGGTATCAAAATTTGCAAAAAGAAAAAGCTTAATATTTATTTGTTTACTTATTAAAACATTTCTTTCAATGTAAGTTGTTTAAGTTTTGCTTCGTTTCGTGTGATAATACTTTCTCTTTAATTCTATTAAACAGACATAATTTCTTGTTCAGTTACAAAGTTCCGCCATTCAAGTCCTATAATTGCTGTGTCAAGAACACCGACTAATTTGTCAATCGAAATTTTTTTGTTTTCAATAACCTCTGTCACGTTTCTTCGCTATCGGAAGCGAATTATAATGACGAGGAACTTGTTTTAAATCATATCAAAGACGGAGCATATTGAGATGAAATACTACATTTGGTAAGGAATTATAAGCCAAATAAAATAAAAACATGTGCGCTGAAGAAGATAAGGATAGTGCTGACAAATCAACTTCCCAATTCATTACGCGCCCGCCGCCGAGCAGCGTGAAATTGATAAACAGATTTCGGATTTCAAAACATACTTTCGCTTTTAGATCCTTTACATATTAACAAATATATATCGGAAATTCTATTTGATATAATCGAAAGTTTAAACTTACCTTTATAAAATTGCTCTTACAGTCTGCAAAAAATAATAAGCCGGATGCAATTCGAAAATTAAGGAACAACGCAATCATCAACATTAACTGAAATAGATAATTAGATAATTTTAGCTTATACGTCCATTATACATAAAATGCGCACGCTAAAACGTATTCTGCGCACACTCATATGCGCAGTCGTAAAAGGTCTTACGCGCACGCGTGAATGCCTCTGCGCATGTGTCAACGCGGCGCATGCGCAGAAAGTTTTTAGTTTTGATGTCCGGATTATAGATCATTCCGAATTATGGGTGTCCGAATTAACGACTTTTGACTGTATAAAATAAAACTTTGAAAATCTTCCTGCCAGTGGTGCATTGAAACAGTTTCTTTTAAAAAATCTAAAAGCAGTAACCTATCCTGACCCTACTCCTGTCAAATAGTTTTCCATTTCAAAACTGTACCTAAAATTCTGGGAAAAATTTGGTGTCATTTTAACAATTCTGAAATGGAAGACATTATTATTAAAAAAACAATCAAGAAATTGTAAAATGATTTATAACCTGATTCAAGATGATTTTAACTTTATTAGGTTTTCATGAGCAAATGAAATGATAGCAGATTTAAACTTTCATCACCTGCTTCCATATTTTAGTGATCAGGCTACCTAGAATTTCTGTAGTTTTTCCCATCATAACCTGAATACAAGCCAGTTTCCCTTAAAAAGTACTCTACAAAGGATGTCTTCCTTGGCATATAGCCTTCACATGCTTTGCCTTAAATCAGGGTTTCGTAAACATTTTTTTTTTCTCAACCCCCAAGTGGGTCGCCAAAAATTTTAGCACTTTTGATATTTCTTTAACTTATTACAATAATTTTGCGATTACCAAATATTTTTACACAATGTATCTAAAAATAGATAAAGATAAGACAATACAGACAAAGAAATTAATGCGATCACTTCGTCTGTTACCTTATTTAAAATTTTCACAGTATTCTATGTCTTAAAATTAGAAGTTAATGACCTAAAAATGCAATAGTATATCACAGTGCAAGTGAAAAAACTGATACTTTCACGCACGCGTGCGTCGGATTTGCACAATACTTATGGGATCCCACAAAATTTTTGTAAATATTATGGGATCCTGGAGGTCGCGAAAAAATATCAGTGATAAAAGGGGTCGCGACTGAAAAAAGTTTAAGAAACCCTGCCTTAAATAAATCAACCAGTATTGTTTCATTTCCATGTTTTAATGGAATTTCAAAGTGATTTGGAAATGTGAAACAGAAAAAATGGTGTAGAAAAGTTGCCAAAATTTTAGAGATGAATTATGATGAGGCATCTGGGAAGTTCCGCTGTTTATTGATGATGACACAAATGAAGCAGTACAAAAAACATAAGAAAATTTCAATGAATCACATAAGCACCATTTTGTTTTATGATTTTTTTATAATTTCTCTGCCAGCCAGAGAATTTCCTTTTTTGAAAAACTTATTGAGGTATAAATATGAGTTTTTTTCTTTAAAAAGTTACAGTTACGAAGTTTGACAGTCTTCAAAGAATTGAAATCCAGTCTGTTCTGATGAAAGTTTAAATCTGTTCCAAGAATTTTGAAACAACCTGAAGATATGAAAATCTGAAGAGGGGCTGATGAATATGAGGGGTGACATAATTTATTCCAGCCTTACTCAATAAGTCTTTGTCTGACATTCTTCTGAATGTGGGGGTCAAGTACTGTCATAATGGAAGACAGCATCTCAGCTCTTGGTCACTTTTGGGTGCTTTGCTTCAATTTCTGCTTTTAAAGCTAGCATTTAGGAAGAGTATTTTTGCAAGTTTATTATCTGATTTGGTGGCAACATTTTATAGTATGTAATTTCAATTTAGTCTAACATACACAAAGCATTACCATTTTAGGATGCAGCATCTTTCTCATTGTTAGGAATGGTGTTTTTGTGGGGGATATGGTTTATCCCATGAACTTTAGTAAAGAATCACATGCTGAAATTTGCGCAAGCATATTCTGCTCTTTCAAAGTATGGGATACCCATACATACATCATAGTAGTTTACATACCCAGTTTTCATCAAATTATGTACTGTACATTTTGAAATATTTAGTGTAACTCGGTGGTTCTCAACCAGTGATAAATGTACCACTGGTGGTACGCAAGAGAAAAATAGGTGTTACGCACCTATTTTTCAAATAAAGGAGCAAAATATTTTTAACTATTAAATTCAAAAATTAAATACTCCAACATCCTGTTAAAGTTTTTTTCTCTAACATTTGTGTGATCTGAGCTTTGTACAAGGACTTTGGCAAAATATTTTCACAAACATTCTTTTAACCATAGATATAACAAAATTTATAATAAATGATGTTTTTAAAAGGAGTAATACAAATGCGTGTTGTATTTAATAGGAAATCAAAATAAGTTCCTATAAAAAGGTAATAGCGAACTTTTGGCAGAACCCAAAAAAGCATTTAAAGGCATTTCAAATAAAGCTATTGCCCTTTTTATTACTTTTTTACACAGCCTATTTGTGTGGACAAGGATTTTCTTCAATATTATATTTAAAAAATAAATACAGAACAAAATTAAATGTGGATCCTAATTTACGGTTAAAACTAAGTGAAATAAGACCAGGTATAAAGAAATTGATCTCTCTTAAACAGGCCCAAATTTCGCACTAAATTTTAGAATTAAAGTATTATAACTTAAATTAAAATAATTAAAATGGTAACCAATTTTTAATCTAATATTTTTTTGCGTGTGCATCTCTAATACAAACAGCCAATAGGTTGGGCAAATAGCAAAAAATATATATATTTTTAATATTTATATTGAGAAATTGAAAAATAATCATTGTAAAATGTAGTGGTGGTACTAAAGTTTTTCAATTTTTATTTAGATGGTACATGTTAGTCAAAAGGTTGAGAACCACTGTTCTGATTGTTCTTGAACTCTAGCATATGGATTTTCAACAATACTTTCTTTTAAAAACAGGGTTGCCACGCTACGTGGCAAACCGGGAAAAAGTCAGGGATTTCAGAAATTGACCAAAAAATTCAGGGAAAAGTCAGGGATAAATGTTTTAGTCAAAATCTGGAAAAGTCAGGGAATTTCATACAACGATCCCGCCAAAAAAGGCGAGTTTTGCACCGACGTCGGAAGAGATCACTTTTTTGGCGAATTGTGTATCACGTGAGTGTCATTCGGGCAGCTGGCATAGAGCCAATTTTCGCAGCTCCAATCTGATTGTCTTTTTAGAAAGGCAAAGCAAGTTTCCCGCAACTTTTGGTTTCCAGTAACCTCGAGAATCGCATGTGCAGTGCATGAACTAAAGAAAGTACCTGTTCTTGTATAAAACAAAATGGGTTTAATCCTAGTATACAGTACCATGAAGGTTAGAATAAAAAAATATGTATTGTAAAGAAGGAAAACGTCTCTGCAACAGACGTTTCTCCGTTCCATCATAGCGGGAAACAGCTGTGCATGCGCGATATATCTGTTGCCAAAGCACGAAACCGGTGTCGAAGTTCGAAGGTCACGTTATCAAGAGTTCATAAAATGAATATCGTTTAAAATTTCTTTAAACTCTAAAGGAAAAAGAAATATTTTTTGGCCCAAGTAAATTAATTCATTGATTAGTTATTTTGAGGGGAAGGAAAAAAATCTACGAAAATCCGTTTTTAAAATTATTGCGAAAAATCCAGAAAAAAACGCTCTTTGATAAAACGTTTCTTCTTGGATTTTTTGCAATAATTTAAAAACGGATTTTCGTAGTTTTCTTTTTTGTCTAAGAACGTTTCTTCTTAACATGTGTTTCTCAATTTCCTGTACACATCGCGGAGAGGGAAATTCTGGCCGCCAGGTTCTGTCGCCAAATCCCTTGTCAAATTTTCCCTCCGCTTTTTACATACTAGACGTTCTTTGGTTAGAATAATCTCCACGTATGGTACAGCGGGATTTGGCGACATGATGATGAGCAGTAAACGGGTCATTTTGTTCTTGGCGACAATTTTCAAAATCATTCGAAGGCCGTATCGTATACTAGGATTTTACCGCAAAATCTTTTTTTTTTTTTCTTTTCTTTTTAATAAATACCTTGTCATTTTGCAGTAAAATAAAAAAATAGTAATCAATCATCTAGGATAACCATGTAATTTAACTATATTCGCTAAAATATCGTTGATTATTCTAATTAAATTTTTAAGTAATTATCTTTATTTTTATGTTATTCATATCATTTAATGTTGCTTCTGCGAAATAAATATAAAATACATCAATTTAGTAAAAAAATATCATTAAATAGATTTCTTTCTTTCATTTAGCTGCAGAATGTCTGCAAAAAAAGCCTTATTTTATTTCAGATTGGGCAGATTCTAATCTCAATCTACAGTGGAGAAAACAACTCTTGTTATAATAATATTTGTGCTTTCAAGTGTTAAGGTGCCTTTTAAGAATACACCTCACACAAATTAGATTTACCTAAAATCTAACCTAACTTTTAGCATTGCGTTGTGATTTATAAGAACCGGATTGGCCTCGTGTTGAACTGGGGATGATCATGAGTAATAATTAAATAAAACATACAGTTGTTATCCAATGTATATATCTTAAATTTATTAAGTTTTTTAAGCGGAAAAGTAAACAAAATTATCAAACAAAGTGTACCAAGAATAATTAAGAATAAACGTCCTCTGGGATTTATTGAATAATTAAGTGAATTTGCTACACAGTACAAGTAATACCATAATTAATTTACCTCTTAGCACAGCCAACTGGAATTTTCTTGAAACATACCTGGAAAACCTGGAAAAGTCAGGGAATTTCATTCTCCTGTTTGAGTGGCAACCCTGTAAAAAGTTCTTGTTTATAGTAGATAGTCATCCTCATGAATCATTGTGGATATTGGTTGACCTTGTGTAGGCCTTGATATGAATCCAGTGTCCTGAAACTTTCCAAAAATTGCACACGACACTGCTCATTACATTGAGCTCTGTAGCCAAATGCAGTTGTGATTGGCTTGCTAACAATTCTCCATATCAGTCCATCATCCATATGTTTGTGGCTACTCATTTTACCTGATACCTTATATAATTTACCCACTTTTGAGAGAAACACAGCCAAAGTCATGCAGTACGGAGGCTGTTCGCACATTTTTCAGACGATTTTGGTAAGCGGTAATAAAAAATCGTTTGCTGCAAAAGAAGTAATTGCAAGTGTACTATGTTTTTAAAAGTCAAAATTATTGTCTGTGGCATGAAAGTTTTGCTTTTATTCAAAATGGCGAATTTAACATAGCAGTGGTTTGAAGGCTACATTTACGCTCTTTCCGAAGAGCATAAATGTAGAATGCATAGTCCGTTATCCAAAAACGATGTGAGAGTCATGGCTTTGTGATATCTAAAATGTCGATAGGTAATATCATCAACAAGAATGGAAAAAAATTGTCAAATTGGAGCCTCAAGTAGGACAAAAATTCCAAACAAGTATCCAAGGAAAAAACGGACATCTTCGACTATTGCAAAGGTACGTTGTTTAATGTTAAAAGAAAATCCCCATAGTCAAAGGACAGTTGCAAAATCATTAAAATGCTTGGTGTCCACTGTAAACAAAATGATAAACATTGATTTAAATCTTAAGAACGTGAAAAAACGCAATGTGCATCGTCTTCTTCCAAAGCATATCTCTCAACGCAGGACACGCTGCAGAATTCTATATGAGTAACACTTATCCAAAGAAAAATGGAAAACAGTTGTCACAATAGATGAAGCATGGGTGTATTTACATTATTGTAACAAAAAAAGAGCCATTTATTGTCATGAAAGGGGAGAAAAAAATTTAAGTACATGGTTCAAAGAATCAAAAGAAAGTTTTTCTAAGGGATTCATGATTGTTGCTGGTTTTTCTTATAATGGCAAGTTAAAAATAAAGAGAGTGCAAAAAAAATGTCAAAATTAACTCCAAATACTATCAGGAACATATTTTATCGCCAATTTTTCTGAATGAAATACCATCGCTTTATCCACCGTGCCATCGATCTGTGAGACTCCATTAGGACAAAGCTAGCAGTCACACATCAAAATCCACTGTAAATTTCCTAAAAGAAATGGAACAAAAAACTGGTATCAAGGCCCTTCACTGATATCCCTACTTAATCTCCCGATGTGTCACTTATGGATTTTTGTGCTTTCGGACTTTTAAAACTGCATTATCCAAACGTTGTCCCAAAACGCTAACAGGACTCTGGAAAGCTGTTCGGGAGGAATGGGATAGAATACCTCTTCTGCCACTTCAAAAGGTATTATTATCCTGGAAATTGCGGTGTCGAAAGATAGTTCAGAATAAGGTATGTCAAATAGAACATTTAAAGTACAAGAATTTTATGTAATTTAGTTTTGTGAATACAATATACATCGTCTAAAAAATGTGTGAACAGCCTCTGTAGTATGAGCAAAAAATTGCCCCCAAACCCCTCTTACTTTTATACCGTCTCTGTAGCCATTCTGAATAATCCTTTGACAACATAATTTGCATAATCCTTTGACAACATAATTTGCATAATCATTTGACAACATAATTTGCATAATCCTTTGACAACATAATTAGTACCTTTGATTCAATACCTGTCATAAAAATAGACATAATTTGCAAATTCTCTTAATCAATTACATTCTTATTTATTACATCATAAAGGTATTAATTTAGAAGTCAAACAACAAAAATCAGCGTTATATTTTCAAATTTTTGCAGGACTAGTTTTTGATGGTTTTACCAAACCAGCATCCTCAGCTGCAAAAGTGTAAATGATCATTTTCGCTTTTGCAGCTGAGAATGATTTTTTGGTAAAACCATCGAAAATAGTCCTGCGAAAATTTGAAAATATAACGCTGATTTTTGTTGTTTGACTTCTAAATTAATATTTGTTTGGCATGTTATTGTATCTTAATCATAAAGGTAGCTGAGCAAATATTGTTTGCCCATTCACAAAGTTTCGATAAGTTGGTGACTTTTTCTGGAATGTGGTTAATCCAAAAGTACAATTTTTCGTAATATTTATTTAACCTGCCCGTCTCCCCTTGCCAATTTTTCTATTCTGTTTTAATGTTTTTACAAAGTTTTGCTTCTGTTGTAACTTTTAAATGGGTTATTTATTGTAATTTTTAAATTCATTATTTATTGTTTGAGCATATTTTCTTTCTTTATTAGTTAATTTATGTTATTCTTTAAATCATCTAGGATTATTATGAGATAATAAAAAATCCTATAGATTTGTCAACAATAAAATTCAAGCTGCAAATGGGACTGTATCAAGATCCATGGCAGTACATTGATGATATGTATCTGATGTTTGATAATGCAGAGGTATACAATAAGAAAACTTCAAAGGTTTACAAATATTGTTCAAAGGTGAGTATTGATAAATTTCAACAAACATAAGATAATAATAAATCCTATAGATTTGTCAGCAATAAAATTCAAGCTGTAAATGGAACTGTATCAAGATACGGGGCAATACATTGATGATATGTATCTGATATTCGATAATGCTGTGATATACCGGGTGGTTATAATTAAACTTCTATAAATGGTATTCTACAGCTCAAATGGGTGAATGGAATGCAAAGAAATTTTGTATATGGGTTATGCATAAGATGCTCTTGTGGAATTTCGAAAAAAAAAAATTAGTTCCAAAATGTCCACCAGAGGGCACCATTTTGGGAAAACATGCAATTTGACACAATAAATGACCAAAACGGAATACAGAAACTATATTAACAATCCAGAACAAGAATTATGCATAATAAAATGCAAAACCAGGAAATGCTGTCAGTTGTAGGAGAAAAATGTCAAGATTTGCATGCTTGGGAAGAGGTAGCTTTAAGCAAAACAGGTTAGGGTATAAAACGTTTGCAGATGTTGTCATGTTTAAGTCCATGTTATCGGCTAAACTAATGACCGTCTCTTTAGTTGAACGTGCGTTATTGGGTGAAGCTGTTTTACGAAAACAAGGGGAAAGCTTCTGCTGCAGTTCATGAATTTCATTGTAGAAAGAACCTACGGTGTGGACCAATGTCTGCTAAAGGTATCAGGCCATGATTAAGATATTTGAAGAAAGAGGAAAATTAGGAATTCAACCTGGATGAGGCCGTAAACGTGTCACAGCAGTACTTGTTGATGCCGTCAAGACAGCTGTTGATGCACAGTCACAGACATCAGAGTTTGGGGGCAGTAGCACGTGTGCAGTTTCTCAACAGACAGGCTATTCTTACAGCACCGCCCGAAAAGTACTCAGAAACATAATGTGCTACTTGCCATACAAGATCCATCATACCCAGGAGCTGCTTGATAGGGACAAGCCACAACATCTCTCATTCGCAGTCAGTCTTCTCAATAGAATGACTATTGATCTGTCATGGTCTTGGAATATTCTGTGGAGAGACGAGGCTCATTTCTATCTCAGTGGGACAGTCAACACACAGAATTGGCGCATTTAGGCTAAGATAAATCCGTGGATCCTCACTGATACTCCCCTACAGTCTTCAAAGGTCATTGGTGTAGATTCATGGTGACATTCATCCTTGGGCCATTCTTCTTTCAGAAAATTGGTGAACGTGGGTCTGTCACATGTTCTGTTATGGGCTGTCAGTACCATGATATGCTGCAGACATTTGTTGTGCCACAACTACAGCAAAGACGGGTCCTTACATCGACCATTTTCATTCAGGATGGTACATCCCACACATATCCATGGGCCTGTGAAGGCACTATTGCTCCAACACTTCACAGAGGACACGTTATAAGTTGTTCCTTTCCTAATCCATGGCCACCATGTTCGCCGGATCTAACTCTGTGTAATTTCTGGTTATGGGGCTATTTAAAATGTCTGGTGTATTGTGGAGGTGTTCCGACGTTGAAATTCTTAAAGAACTTCATAACACTTCATGTGCGAAGCCTCACAACTGATCAGTTACGATCTGCTGTTGAACACACTGTCCATCAACTTGAAATTTTGCATGTGAATGAGGGTGGTCACAGGGAGCACCTTTCCCTGCATCATCATGGACATGATTAACAACTGCTCCTCTTCTACAATTTTACCCTAATCTGTTCTTGTTTCTGCAAACTCAACAGTTTTTGTTTTCTCCCCTTACTTTTACTTAATGTGGTTCGATGACAAGGTGATCAGAAACTACTCAATAAATGTTATTGTTTCTGTAGTCCGTTTTGGTCGTTTATTGTGTTAAATTTCATGTTTTCCCAAAAAAGAGCTCTCTGGTGGACATTTTTAAACAAAAATTTTTTTTCGAAATTCCATGAGCTCATCTTGTGTATAGCCCATATACAAAACTTCGTTGCATTCCATTCACCTGTTTGCGCTGCAGGATGCTGTTTATAGAGGAAGTTTAATTATAACCACCCTGTACATTAAGAAAACTTCAAAGGTTTACAAATATTGTTCAAAGATGAGTATTGATAAATTTGAATAAACATATTTAGACACATGAAAGGGTGTCGACCAAGTTCGGAAAAGAGGGAAAAGACAACAGAGAGGCACCGGTTAGGTGTATCTTACATGAACCGTTTTCGGCTGCATTTGACGCCCAATTACTAAAAAGGTATTAGACCTGCAAAACTTGAAATTTTGTATGTCTAATAAAGCTCCCTTGAACACCTAGAATAAGAAATTTCATTACTTTACCTCTTATAGTTAGGGAATTATTAAGGTCTGAAAAAAGTCATTTTTATCTCTCACTGATTGACACGCTTATCGAAAACCTAGACCGCTTCTAAATGACTTTGATACTTGAAATTTGGCATGAAGGTAGATCATTAGGCTTATACAAAGGAAAAAATCTAAAACTTCAAAAAACTAAATTATTGTTGAGGTTAAACCAAATAATACTCATAACAAGCATTTGACACCATTAATGCATTAACAAGCATTTAACAATAGATGACGTTGCACTGATCATTGTTTTCTGCGCCACTCTGCTTTCTTTGCCGAAAGTGAAGAATAAACACCTGTTTATAAAAGATGAAATATAACTCTCATAACTCAGAAACGAGTATGATGTTGAAATTTTGTAAACTCAGAATGTTGAAATTTTGCATATAGCAGCGGTTCTCAACCTCTTGACTGACTCGTACCATCTAAGCAAAATTTGCAAAACTTTAGTATTACCATTGCAGTTAAGATGCAATAACACGAACAAGTATTAATTTAGAGGTCAAACAACAAAAGTCAGCATTATATTTTCAAATTTTCACAGGACCAGTTTCGATGGTTTTACTGAACCATCATCCTCAGCTGCAAAAGTTGAAATGAACAAGATAAGATATAGTGATTAGCCAAGATAGGAAAGACTGTACAGGAGTTAAACTACTGGTGCCATCTGTTGATGAAATGAGAACTAAAACATAATTTCCTTAAAGGCTGAAGGCAAAGATGTACTGGAATTAGGGTTGTCGACTAGAACAGAAAAAACTCCTGTCTAGTCTTTCTTATCTAATCCATTTGTGCTTTTGCGACTGAGGATGATTGTTTGGTAAAAGCATCAAAACTGGTCCTGTGAAAATTTGAAAATATGATGCTGATTTTTGTTGTTTGACTTCTAAATTAATACTTGTTCGCCATGTTATTGTATCTTAATTATAGGAGCCCCAAACAGGCTTTTTTTCCCCCATGTGGCTTTTGTCATTTTGCAATTGTATGAGTTTCTGAAGCCACAAAACAGGTTATTTCCCTTTTTCCACATGGCAGGTTCACCATTTTGTGATTGTATGAGTTTCGGTAAGTATTTTTTCCCAATTTTTTAAGTTTGACTTGTATTATTAAGTATTTTAATTTTTAATTGATATTTTGCTTTGCTTATCTGATTTCATTCTTTTTAGTTGCAAATATTTTATTTTGTTTTCATTTTTGGTGTGAAATTTTTCTACTGTTTTGAGCATTTTTATTAGTTAGTTAATTTAGTTTGATTTTCTGCATTGTTTAACATACCTTCATCCATGAATCGTTTCACTAAATTTCGCCTGAAACAACAGAAATTTCTGAATCACCTTGACTTTTTACTAAAGTGTAAATGTAATCCCCAATTTCATTCAAATCAAATCTAATCAAAAATCTTCCAGTCATGTTTCAAGAATTCTGTTAAACTGCAAGCTTGCCCTGCTTCGGTCCATCATAAGGGATACATGTCATAAGGGATACTTGCTAATTCATATCCAAAATTCACTGCCATTGAACAAACATCTTGGTCTAGAACTGAGAATGTAATTAACTGTCATAAAAACATCCTTACATTTAATTTTGAAAAACTTCTTTTACAGTCTTGCAATTTAAGTAGTTTTGTAATGTAGCCGCTCCTCAATAGACGCTAATGTCGGCTAGCTTTAAAAGGATTTATTATTAACACAGCACACAGGAATGGTTACAAACAAAAAATATACATAAAAATGAAACATATACCAAATGGAACATCAAACATTAGAATTACAGAGACATCTAGAACATTAAAGTTATTGTTCTCATTTACAGCTATCATCATCGCGGCTGGAGGTCAACTGTCGTTTTTTTCCTCTTTGCCACTAGATGGTGTTCAATAAAATAGTTTGGTTACAGTTAAATAGTTCTGTTACATCCTCCCCCTCTGACTTTGTATACGTCTCAGGAAGAAGTCAGGAACTGACATTTGTCTACTTTGTGCAGTGGGCGGAGAACCAGATGGACTGGCGAGTTTGACGAGCTGTAGATTTAGCATCACCAGCATCTTGTGCAACAGGTGCAGATTTGGGTGGTATTACTCATTTTGGGCATCCTCTTTTCTTTAAGGAAACCACTGGTGTTACCCGAGGTAAAGTCTGAAACTTATTTTGATCTTGATATGGTTTCAAGGCTGAAACATGATACTTGCTGAGAATTTTGTCTGGTTCGTGAGGATCGACAATATCATAAGTGGTTGGGGATCTGGTAGTCACTATCACACAAGGATTATCTCGCTTCGGCATGAATTTAGCAGTTTTCTTTAGTGGATCTTTGCTGATTGGGTGGAGGGTAACCCAAACTTTATCTTCAGGAACGAATTTCGGAGTTTCTCTTTGTTTTTTGTCAGCATATTGTTTCTGCTTATCTTGATGCAATTCGACTCTTTCTTGTACCTGTTGTACACTTCTTGCAAAATGTTTCAAATATGAAGTAGTTTCGGGAACAAAGTTATTGTTCTCATTTACAGCTTTTATATCATGTTTTATGTGCAAATTGAAGAAATGCAGCAGAATGTCCAGTTGAATCACATTTGGCTGTATTCAAAGTAAACCTTATTAATGGCAGTTTATCTTTCCATGACTGATGGTCATTACCAACAAGTATTGCTGAATGCGGTTTCAGATCTCTATTCTTCCTTTCATTTAAACATATTTCTGAAAATTTCATTAGAGATATGTTTCTCATTCAATTAATTCAGTTCTCATTTTGCGACAAGGGAAAAATACATAAAACCTCAATATCTTTATTAAAACTTGAAAAATATAGAAAATATAAAACATCAAATACAGTTAAAACAATTAAAAACAATTTTGACAATTAAAATTAGAGTTAATTAGTTAATTTCTAACTGGAGAAGTCAAATATTTGAACGGAATTTATTGACAGTTAAAACTTGCCAAGTTTGAAATCTGATGTCAAAGAAAGTAATAAATACTTTTTAAATGAATTGAAGAAAATTGTGCATTCCTATAGCAGTGATTAAAGAAACTTCTATGGAATTTGCCATCTGTTAGATGTTAACTATTTTGCGGGTGACACTGACAACACCAAATGTCGTTTCTCCTGAACTTGGCCCCCATTTCACATTTGTGCTGTTAAGATTTCTGTATCCTGAAATATATATATGCATTTTAGTCTATCTTTTTTTTTTTTTTTTTTTTTTTTACCTAATTAGCTTTCAGAAGTTTTCCGAAGTGTGATAGATCAGCCAATGCAGTCACTGGGTTACTGCTGTGGTCAAAGATATGCTTTCGAAGCTCAAGTTCTCTATTGTGCACAGGCATGCTCTATACCTGTTGGTGCTATTTATTGGGAAGAAAGCAATGGGTACTTTCTTTTACAAAATTTAATATTATATACATTTTTATGTAGTTATTTTTTTTCTTAGTAAGTAATTATTATTTTCTGCTGCTTCTTTTAGGATCAAATATTGTCAGAAATGTTTCTCTAAAATTTCAGAAGATTGTACACTTGGAGATAATTCTGTTGAACCATTAGTGTAAGTTGTAAAATAAGTCTCATGACATATATATTAATTTGTAATGTATTTATTAAATTTGAAATTTTTCAAACAGCATACAAACTGTATTAACTCTTCATATAAAGCATTATGAATGGTTATTTTATGGACTGAATTATCAGTGCTGCCAGTTTTTACCAGCAGACTTCCAAATTTTAATTATATTCTCAATCTCCTGATAAGTCATCACATCTCCCAGTTTTTAACTCATTATCAATTCATATATTTTTTTTCAAATGCAGTGTAGAACTATTGTTAATCGCAAAGTTAAAAAAAGAAATTTCTCAAATAAAATTTTGTTTATAATTTTTTTTTTAAAATTGCATTCCACCTCTAAATGAAACATTAATTTATAATTAATTCTAATCTCAGTAGTGATTTTTATCATTTTTTTTCAATTAATTTTTATTTTATCTGAGTTGCATTATTCTATTATAATACACAGAGCTTGTTTTGAAGACTTAAGATATCAGGTACTTGTCATAATTTGTCAAAAATAGAACACCATTTTATTAGATACTATCTTAAGTTAAAACATCAAAAATTTCTAAAATAAACATTAAAAAGAAACAAAAACATTTTATTAAAGAATAATTATCTACACCAGAGTATCCCAAAAGCATTTTATTAAATGATAGTCATCAACACCAGGATATCTCAAAAGCATTTTATTAAAGAATATTCATCAACACCAGATCATCTCAAAACCAAGAATTATCAAAGCATGTAAGATCCAAGGAACTTGAATTATAGGTAAATAATACCAATATTGCCAAGCTTTAAAAACCAAATGTCTTCTGTAAACAAATACCATTACATTTTAATGCTCAATAGTTTTATAATTAATTGTCTTATGTCATGAGATTTTGTATATCTTTTTCAGGAAAAAAATAATTAAATTATTTAGCAAATTTAAACTCTTGCCAGTTGTTTCATTTCCTAGTTGATTGAAATTCCCAAAACTCTAGACTGATAGGCAGTTGTGGAAATTGAATTGAAAGTGGATACTTTTGTTTGGATAATATGCTAAATTTTAAATTTGATTTGAATTTTGATGGGAAAATGGAGTGGCTACATATATGTTCATAATTTTCCCATATTAAGGTAAATACAAGGCAGAAAGAATATTCTTGAAGGCACTTATCTGTACATACATTTTTTTTAACTGTAAAAAGTAAACTGCTTTTTTGTGAAAATGTAATATGAGTATAATCCCAGTTGTTGTGCCCTCCTGCCACAAAATCTATTTGTGATGGGGAAAAAATGTGTAGTTCGACCGCCTCGTCTGCAACCATGAGTGCAAACATGCATGCACCATTTGAACCGAATTATTCTCAAAATAGGGTGGAAGGATGGGGTCTTTCTCCCCCCCCCCCCAGCATAGCTCTTTCCGGAGAAGAGAAGCCCTTTCACGTCGCAGCCCTTTCATCGCCCCTTTTGGACGAGTCTATGTGTTTTGGCAGAATGCCAACCAGGGGTTGCACTTGAGATGGTCGAACTGTACCTTGGGGGAACTGATCATGTAATTTATTATAATTATGTATATCAGTATAATTATTATTGCAGAATATTCTCATGAAGTCTGCAGTATGAATGAAAACATAACATTTCTTCTCTGGACATAAAATAAAGGAGCTCACCTGAGTTACTTTTCATAAATTTGAGCATAAATAGCCACGAAAATATTCAAGTATGCTTTCATGTACCAGGGTTCGTATGGTCCTTAAGAGTCCTTAAAAGTCCTTAAGTTTTTTGGAATCGATTTTTGGTCCTTAAAAGTCCTTAATTTTGTTCAAAAGTGGCAGAAGGTCCTTAATTTTAATCATCTGAAATTTCTGTCTGTTTTTACGACTGCCATTTGGAGTGTGAATTAGCATTTTGCAGGAATATTTTTGGCAATTCACTGACAAATATGGCTATTTTTTGAATGGGTTCATGAGTTATAATTTGTTCCTATTTTGTAATATAAATAATGATGGGATACTCAAGTTTCTGAACAAAAAGTGAAAAGCATTTCAAAATTATTTAATTTTTGTAATGAAGAGCTCTCAAAGAAGTTTACGCTTTTGGGGATGTGAATTCTTTTATTAAACAGTTCTAAATTTGGCGATTTTAAGATCGGTTTCTATAGAAAATTTTTAATTCCGAGATCTGGGAATTTTTCACAATTTTTTTAGAACATTCAAAAATTGTTAAATTTTATTAAAATAATGGTAATATATTGGAATTATATTTAAGAAATAACATTAAAATAAAGCATTTTTATTTTTCTTTGTCATATTATAAAGTTCCATTTTGGCCCCATATTGTACAATTTTTTTAATCTGAAAAATAAGCAAGGAATAATGCTATGCAAAGCACAGTTTACAAAACAGTTTTTAGCAAAAGCAAAATAGCTATGTAATTAATTAAATATGTCTTTTTAATTTTTTCATGGTAAGAATTTTTCCTATTTCTCAGAATGATCAGAATTCTCAGAAAATGCATCAGTTTTCTCTATAATATTAATTTCGCACTTTTTTCCTCTGATTTTTTTAAAAACATATCTGGCTTTTTGCTGTTACAGAATTGGTAGGGGTAATTTTTCTTTGGGATTTTAGACATTGAAGCTTGGAAAGTTTAGAAAGATTTTAAGGCAAATTTATAGACCCACGATTCTAAAAGATTCCAGAAAAATGTGATAAAATGAAGTTTTCTGGAGTGTAAGAGAAGTATGTTTCTGACCTCCACTTGCTCCCTGCATTAGTTGTGTCATCTTGATAATTTGTAATTATTAGTCTTTCCATTACTGCTGCTGACATTTGAGTTTATTATGATAATAGAGTTACTGAAGCAGATTAAATTGAAATTAAATTGAAATTAAATTGTATAGTCTTTGACCACTAGCCCATATTTTTAGTTTGAATTTGACTGTTCTTGTTTAATTATATCACCACAAACTGTAAATGATTTTGTTAGCATAAGAACAGGCCTATATGTTCCAAGTTCTTTTTGAATAAGAAGCTTATTTAAACCTTTATTTAAATTTATTATCTGATTTATAGTTACTTTCAGACATAGTGATAATTTGTTTCATGTCTGTGTGTGTGGGGGGGGGGTGTTTTGGACTATTTAACTTTTACCAGATCAAGTAAGCCTTCATAGGTAGTACATTGTGGAGAGGTTGACAGTTGGGAGATAAAACACGCAGAAACTAATGAGAACATTGTTTTGCATATTGAGACAAATTTCTAATTGTTAGAAAACATGTTTAAGGAGAAGGAAATCGATATAAATTAGCCAAAATGTCTGGGCAGGTTTTGTTGAGTTTTATGTTTTGTAGCTTTTAATGTGTAATTATCCTAATATCGTTTAAAAATCAATGTTAAAATTGCATGTATTTTAAACTGTGAAATTTTATGAGATTGTAATATTAATACGGTTTTTAACAAATATTATTAAAAAATAAATTTAATTTTATAGTGGCCATGTAAATCCATAATGACTAAGGTTATCTAATACCTAATTTAATTATGACTAAATGCATTATCTTAAAAGTTATCTCTCTATATTAAAGCAAGTTATTGCCTTTCATTAATACGCTGAGCCCGGCGTCGGTTCTTGGGAACCGGTACTGGAATTTTAGTTTGGCTGGCATCGCTCCACGGGACCAACAGTATTAAAGTTAAAAAATAAGTATAGTCTCAATGAAATGTGATCAAATGTAGTTTTAATGAGATTTATTGAAACATTCTAAACAAAAATAGGGCTTAGCTTTACACATATTACAATACGAGACAACTATTTTGGTAACATTTTTGGCTATCTTGCATCCAAATAGTTTTGAATTGTCATCATAACATTTCAAACAATACTTTCGGACTTTATATATGTCTCTTTTTTTTTTTTTTTTTTTTTTTGTATAATTTATGAATAATTTAAGTCAGCAATATTGCACCGCTTGATCGTAATATTGCCACCGGCTATTGCTGCCGGCTGAACAGAAAGGACAACAAATTCGGCGCCGGGCTCAACGTGTTAAACCTTTACCGTGGTCTCAAGGTAAAACACAGAAATATAAAAATTCATGTGAAACTTATTCATGTTTGAGGTTCTATTAGCCACTAAAGCATTAGCGGTGATAAGTTGTTTTGCATTAGTGAGACTTAATGCAAAACAAATTATCACCGCTAATGCTTTAGTGGCTTAATAGAACCTTAAATTATATTAACTGAGTTACAACCCCTGGAACTCTACACGAAGTTATGACACTAACAGCATCAGACAGTGGTCAGCTAACTTTCAAAATTTGCTAACTGTGCCTACATCAGTCCTTTCAGGTTTGTTCTGATTAGCAGGTCTCTCTATAGGCAAGCAGGAGCGGTGACAACAGCCAGTCTTTTGTTATGAATCATCCTGATTATGATTTTAATGATCATTTTAACCTATGCTGCTTGATATAAAATCTACTTACTATTTACTAAACCTCTAGACTGAGCAAGTATGTGACAAAATGAGACATAAAAAAAAAAAAAAAAAAAAAAAAAAAAAAAAAAAAAAAAAAAATACCTAACTGTTAGTAAAATGTAACTAAAATGTAACTTATCTTCTTTCAGATATGTCCAGTTATTATGAATGTAAAATATTTAATGCTACTTGAAAAATTTCATAAAATTAATTTTTTCTCAAAATATTAATAATTTTGTTAATTAAGTTATGTTTAATAATAATGCAAGCTACTCATGTTCAGGCATAGATATAATATTTTTAATTGAATTTATTCAGTTCCATTTGCTCATAGGTCCTTAATTTTTTTCATTAATGGTCCTTAAAAGTACTTAATTTCCTTGTGCAGAAATGTGTACGAACCCTGATGTACTTACAGCCTCTGAAAAAAAGAGGGGGGTTATATTGACATTATATTGTCATTGGAAAACAATCCATAAAGAATAGCCTTGTAGATGAACGTACTAGCGGCATTAATCGGCTAACACCAGGATTCAGTCAATAAATCCTGAACTGGGTGCATTGATACACAGTGGGCACTTACTACTGTTATACTTAGTCAGCATTTATCTGAATTAGTGAGTATTTACTGTACCTACAAGTAGCCAGGGTTCTATTCAGGGTTCATTCATGAAATCACCTTTTTTTTTCAGTTCATATTAAGTGTTGATGAAATGCAAATTGCAAGAATAATAGTATAATCTATGTTACTATTGCTTTAGTTTAATAATAATTACATATGATTAGCATAATTCTTACAATTAGCATACTAAATGCTAAAAGTGTGCGTGGGGAAACTACTAATATTTAATTAAAACTTGTTTCTGATTTATTTAATGTATTTTAAATAAAAATAAAGTCATTAAGAATTAATGGTTGCTTATTTATTTCAGTAATAGTTTAAAGGCAAAACAGCTTCAAAAAATGAAAAATAATTTCTTGAAACCAGAACCGTGAGTATTTAAGCATAATTTTTCCCCTTACAAGATTATCTATGCTGCAAAACAGTATATTTAAAATGAATTAGAATCTTATAAAATTGATATATATATATATTATATATATGGGGATTTTAAAATCAATAGCTTAATATTTTCCTTGCACGCTGTATAAATGTTAGCTGTTGACTGCATGAGTGAAATTGATTGAACTCTTGCCTCTTTGTTTTATGAGAGGAGATGTAAGATGATATAGATGTGGTATTAAGAGATGTAAGAGGTTATAGTTGTCATGTTAATAGATATAAGATGTTATAGATATCGTGGTAATAGATAAACAATGTTATAGATTTTGTATTAAACTATATTATAGATGTATTAATGTTTTATTAAATGTGTTTCGTTGAACATGAAGAACATGAATTGTTATTTCGAAACTAAAGAACCCATATATTATATATATATTATATATTAGATATATATAACATTACAAAGAGTAATTTTCCAGATTGTTTATAAAATTATGCATTTAACATGGCTGATTTGTAACATTTACAAAAATGAGATCAAATCTTAGTATAGATTTTATAATGTAAATACTTTTATACAATTAAGACACAATAACACGCCGAATAAATACTAATTCAGAAGTCAAACAACAAAAATCAGCGTTAATTTACAAAATTTTCACAGGACTAGTTTCGATGATTTTACCGAACCATCATCTTCAGCTGCAAAACCACAAATGAACAAGATAGGAAATAATGTTTAGATAAGATAAGAAAAAGCAAGTGGCGCCATCTGTTGGCGAAACCAGAACTAAAACATAATTTCTCTAAAAGCGGAAGGCAAATTTGGATTGGAATTATGATCGTTAACTAGAACAGAAAGATTTTTATGAATGTGAAATGCCTCTAGAAAATCCAGTTCTCCAATGGAAGATGTTTTTTGAATAATTTTGGCAGCAGAAAAATTGAAAGTGTGATTTTCGGACCAACAATGTTTTGAGCAACAGAAGACTTCTGTGTTTCCTTTTTTCTAACATATGCCTCATGTTTTTCTTGATGCGAAATTTTAAGGCTCTCTTAGTTTGGCCAATGTAAATTAAAACCGCACTGGCAAGGAATCCTATAAATACCCCAGGAATTCATATACCGGAATGGGGTCCTTGAGTATAGAAGTTGGAATTTTATTGATGGGAGAGTAAACAACCCGAAAGTTAAATTTCTGCAAAAAATTTGTAAATTAACGCTGATTTTTGTTGTTTGACTTCTGAATTAGTACTTTTATACAGTCAAAAGTCGTTAATCCGGACTCGTCGGGACTTCGGCGATTCCAGATTATCGATTTTTCCGGATTATAGATCATCAGTTTAAATCTCGTAAGATGGCATGCACAAATTCTAAAATTAAAAATATGAAACCGTATTTTAGGAAATAAAGAACAATTATGATCTAAAGGGTATAAAAATTTACAAAAAAAGAAGCTTAATATTTATTTGTTTACTTTATTAAACATTTCTTTCAATGTAAGTTGTTTCGTTTTATGTTTTAATACTTTCTCTTTAATTCTATAAAGACATGATTTCTTGTTCAGTTAAAAAGCTCTGCTGTTCAAGTCCCGTAATTGCTGCGCCGAGAATACCGACTAACTTGTCAATCAAAATTTTTTCGTTTTCACTAACCTCTCTGTCACCTTCTTCATGTCTTTATCCATTTTTTGCAGCAGTTCCACTTTTTGTTTGACGGACATCGAGACATACTTTCGTTTTGTAGATCCTTTGGGAGCTCCAGAATCGGAAATTGACTTAATCGAAAGTTCAAGTTTACTTTTATAAAATTGCTCTTACAGTCTGCAAAAAATAATAAGCTGCATCCAATTCGAAGATTAAGGAATAACGCAAGCATCAGCATTAACTGAAATAGATAACTGTATAATTTTTAGCTTATACCGTCCGTTATACGTTAAACGCGCACGCAAAAACGTATTCTGCATTTGCGCACACGCATATGCACTTGCGCGTAAAGGTCTTACGCGCACGCGTAAACGCCTATGCGCATGTGTCAACGCGGCTCATGCGCAGAAAGTTTTTTAGCTTTGAGGTCCGGATTATAGATCATTCCGGATTATGGGTGTCCGAATTAACGATTTTTGACTGTATATAACAAGAAGCATGGGATAGTGCTTATTTGTATGACCTTTAAACTTTCTGCATTTTGACGTGCTTGTTATATGCTCTTTCATTAAGAAATTATTTTATTTTATGGAACACTATTATTTTTTATCTGATAGTTATATCATGAATGCAAATGTACATGGGATATGGAGAGGAAGATAAACTGTTGTGCATGAATAGTTATCTAAGGAATTAAGAAAAGAAACTCAAAGAGATTTATATTTTTATAAAAGTAACACCTAAAATAAAATATTTTGTCCTGAATATACATCAGTGGCATTAGAAAGATGTCCTCTGTAATTATACCAATGTATAAATAATGATCATAGCACTAAAAGTGTATCCTATATTTTTAAATTGCTGTTAAATTTTATTTTTAAATTGCTATATTTTTAAAAATTGGAAATAGCTCTTAGAACTGACAGTTTGTCAGATTGCACTGATGATAAGTATGATAAGGAGAAGACTCAGGAGATTAGTTGGTAGTATAATATCATATGATACAAAGAAAGGAAGTCTAGAAACATTTATCCTGACTAAATCAACCAGTAAAACTGTTTTCTTAAACTGTATTACACGTGCACTTTTTTTTTTCCTATTATGTTTACTGGAATGGTTTAAGTCATTGGTCTTCAAATTTTTCAACTCAAGGAATCCCTTTTTGTGTTGTATTTGTTTTGTGTGTGTTGGTGCAATTCCTACCTCAGAGAAGTAACTATCAAAAAAGTATAGAAAATGTAATAATATTGCATTTGCACAGAAAACTTAAAATAAAATCTCTATTTCATTACATATTTTTCACTGAATGAATTGAGTAAAAGTTTCATAAATGTTCATAGTTTCATTTCATAATTATTAATTTATTAATTACTACTACATGATACGTTTAATGACTTGAATTTGCTTGTCCTTTTTCTACAGCATAGCTCTATTGATGTTATTTGTAAAGCACATCTGACATTTGGTGTTTAGTATATTAATTTTATTGCAACATAGTCTAAAATTGAGTTTTCACCAAAATGAATATCCATATGAATACATAACATGGGGTTACAGGATTTTTATGGCTTTGTGAGAAATTTCATAGTATTCTACATGAATTTCAGCAGCATAGTCTACAGCATCTTCTACTACCGTGACTTTTAATGAGACAGTGCATTTCCTTGATTTTTGCTGAAAACAAACATGCACAATGGATACTTCCCTGTCAAATCTTTCTGCATTATTGCAAAACGAAAACTGGAATTATTATCTGGAAGATAATAAATAAAATAAAGCACACGGAATTTAGATTGCATAATTAAAACAAACATGACTTAATGTTCATAATGGCACTATGAGCACCACACTTATTTGTCTAGTGTGTAACCTTAATAAATATCATCATTCAGATGTGCGGACGTGCTTCACAAATTCCAAATTTCATTGACAACTCTTTCTTGGTACGAAGATTTTATTTTCATTTAGTGTGTATTTTACTTATATATGTTTAATATTCAATAGCTTTTTTAGATCTTGCCCAGAAGGGCTATTAATTTCGTTTCGTCATTTTGCATCGGTTCACTATAAATATCGGTTAACTTTTCAAATTGTTGCCACAAAAATATTAGAGCCCTGCATTATATTTAAAGAAATTAAATAATGAGGAGTCTGCATGAAAGTATGTATGTTTCTTGCTCTGTGAAAAAAACAACTGAAGCTAGAGACATCAAATTTTGAATAATATAATCTTTCACCAAATATAGACATCTAAAAGCCCGAATTTTTAATTTGGAATTTGTTTTATTATTGATTTCATATTTTGTAATACTTTAACGAATTTTTGATTAACAAACTCAAGGACTTCAAAGTAAGCAATGGCAACATTGTACAGAGAAAAACATTTTTATCTTCAGTGCACGAGACTGTGTATTGGAAATTCTAAAGATATACTCATTTCAAAACTATTTTGCGATATTGCTCTTGAATTGAATTTTATGGTTTTAGTGTAAAGGACATGAAATATTAATAAATAAAGGTAACACACAAAACATTAAAAAACGCCCCTTTGTGCGTAATATAAAATCTGAAAGCTTTCAGACTTTTTTTTATTTATTATTTTTTCTTCAAATTCTACACCAGACCTAGGCATGATTGCCATTAGTCTGTGACAGGCAGTTCAATGCAATTCCAGAAACATTAAAAAAGTATAATAATTTTTTGACAGCATTATTGTTGCCACGTCATTAAAGTCCAGAACAAGTGTCCAAATGGTCATTGCACTTGTCATCAATATCACATGATGAGCAAGATGGAGTGTCTGTTAAACGAAATCTGTGTAGGTGTTTTACGAGGTATAATCAGAAGTTTGTGATACCAACAGGTCTAGGTAGGTCACAAGGAATGGTATTCTCCATCACGGAACTCCAAATCTTCCCCTTCAAAGTCCCCATTCTTCTCTCGAAGATGAGCTCCACATCTGACTTCAATGATTCTCTTAGCACTGTGATAGCAAACAGGAAAACTGGGTTGAGAAAAGACAGATCCATCTATAGCCAGAGTGTCAGAAATCTCATTAGAGATTCCACAATGACTTGGAATCCACTGCAGAGTAACAATGCAACCATTATTTATTAGAGAATTTATCACGAGCTGAGAATTTAAAACAGACTCATTGTTTAAAGTATGACTGAAGGAATTGCTTTAATAGTGGCCTATGAATCAATAAATTTCACAAAGCTCTGATCATCTTGTTTAATGATTTCATTCAAGGCCAGTTTAACAACAGTCATTTCAGCATTGTAGCTGGTAGCATTTGCATCAGCCCTGATAAAGGACCAAGAGTCAACTCCTGCACCAG